GTGTGTGTGTGTGTGTGTGTGTGTGTGTGTGTGTGTGTGTGTGTGTGTGTAGCAAGTGGAGGTGAGAGTCCCACAAAGATGGATGGAGAAGAGAGAAATAAGGGAAAGCCCCAGCTCAGGGCCCTGGCAGTGTCTGACTTGGCGGGTGTTTCCAAGCTCAAGGCCCTGTGATTAGAGAGACAGAGAGACGAGAGACAAGACAGAGAGCAGACAGGAATAGATAGAACTGGAGAGGTGGGGCAGGGAGAGAAAAGTGGGAGGGGCAAGACAGGGGCCAAAAAAGGAAAAAGGGATGCTCCAAAGACTCCTGGAGGGTCCCTGAGTAGGGGACATGCATTCTGTCCTTCCCTTCTCCCTTATGGAGACCCTTGTCTGCAGTGTGTGTCCCAGTGATGAGGCTTGTGGGCTTGTGGTGACTAGGGTATCTATAAAGAACTCCTTGAAGAGGCGCTTGTTAAACATGGCCACGCTTTACGTGGTCCAATGGGTTCAGTGCTGTTCCTTCCTGGTGGGATTTATAGAGCAGTGGCAAGGTTTCCAAAGCTTCTGCATTTGTAGATCTGAGCAGCTATGAGAGCTTAGGTGCCGCCCACTTCACCTAACCGTCAAAAGAAAGATGCATGGTGCCCAGGGGAGCAGCGGCCTGGTCTGAGGGTGGGAGGTAGGGGGTAGTAGCCTGGTCTGAGGGTGGGAGGTGGGGGGGAGCAGCCTGGTCTGAGGGTGGGAGGCAGGGGAAAGGGAGGGCTGCCTGGTCTGAGGGTCAGAGGCGGCTGTCATGGAGTTTCTTTCCCAGCTGAGGAGCACTCTGTCCTAGACCAGGGCCCCTCCCAGGCCAGCTGGAGGTAGTGGTGGTAGCCTCCAGAGCCACACCCTGGGTGGGGTATGGAGGTGACTTCGGCGGGATGGGCAGCTGGCACCTGGGCAGAGCCACAGGTCCAGAGATAGGGCTGCATGACCGCTGAGCTCCAGGTAGACACCTGCCCTCTGACTCCTTTACTACTCGTTAAATGAAGCAGTGTCTGTTTTTAAATTATTTGTTTGTTTTATATCTGTATTGGTGTTTCGTCTGCATGTAGTCTGTGTGAGGGGGTCAGATCGTGGAGTTACAGACAGTTGAGAAATGCTATGTGGGTGCTAGGAATTGAACCCTGGTCCTCTGGAAGATCAGTCAGTACTCCTAACCACTGAGCCATCTCTCCAGGACCCGGTGTCATTTTTTTTAACCACCTGATTTAAGAAATTACAATTATGCTACCTTGGGAAAACTTTTTCTTATCACATTTGGTGCAGTCCCTCACCTGTGTTGCCTGGTTATTAGAATTATCATGCAAAACCCCACAACAGCTATCTGAGTTTAGGGGCCTGACCACAAGACTCCAACGCACCACAGGAGTCTCTAAAGCTCCGCATCTGGAAACTGCGTGACCAGCACACAAGGGTGGTATGTCAGATGAATAAAGCAGCAGGTCTCAGGCATGCCTTCTCCTAAGCCCTCAGAGACAGAAGAGAGCCTCTTCCTGTGCACAGCTGGAGATACTGGCAAGAAAAAAAAAGTTCATGTTTCCTCCTCAATTTTTTTCCACGTTGATTTTGCAACATAAATCATTTCTCCCACATTCCATGCAGGAAAGACTAAACATGGGCCACTCCCATCATCCAGATGTAGGGGAACACTCTCATAATCCAGATGTAGTGGAGCACTCCTGTAATCCAGATGTAGTGGAGCACCCCTGTAATCCAGGAAATCAAGGAGGTGGAGGATCAGGAGTTCAAGATCTTCCTGGGCTAGCTATCCAACACGTTTGAAACCAGCCTGGGTCTATTTGAGACCTTTTTGGTCAGGAAGGAAGAAAAGCACAGAGGGAGAAAGAAAAGGAGGAAAAGAAATCTAGAGGGAAGGAGGAATGGGTAGAAAGAGAGGAGGGAAAAGAGGGAAGGGGAATTGGTTAGATCACAGACCCTCTAGCTGTCTTTCTTCCTCTCCCAGAAATCAGTCCATGACCTGCACTCCGTCCCCACTGTGTTAGAGAGCTCTGGCCTCTTCAGGGAAAGCAAACCTGGCCTCTCCGCCAGTCAGTAACTTTTTCCTTAAGACCTACAGGTCTCGAGATGCAACCGTCAGGCGTCTTCACAGTTGCCGTGTGTGTCTGTCTGTTCACTATTCCACCTGCAGCAGAGAGCCCGATGTGTGACCCGTTTGTTGCTGCTCTCCAATCTCTATCCAAACCGTGCCGTGCCGTGTTACCCTCCTGTGTGCTCCCCCACCCCCTTTTTATGATGCTCCTACTTCCTTTGCCAGCACCGAGTTGGTACTGTTTGATAAAATATATATCTACTAGCTTTCCTTTTCAGGAGCTGAGGACATGGCTCAGTCCACAAAGCACCTGCCTAACAAGCTCAGAGCCTGGATGGAAAAGGCTTGGGCATAGTAACACAGGCTTGTAATCACAGCCCTGGGTAATCAAAGGTAATCACAGACAGAGGTAATCAGATCACTGGCAGCTTTCCTTACTTCCAAATTCCAGAAGACCCAGTTTCAGCAACCAGGTGTGACGGTACACATCTGTAATCCCAGCATGCAGAAAGCAAAAGCAGGAGAATTCTAAGTTCAAGGCCCAGCCTGTACTACAGAGTAAGTTGCTAGCCTGAGATACAGTGAGACCCTGTCTCAAAAATAAAACAAGTGTTAGCAGCTCTCACTTAAAGATAAGTCTTCACACAGACTTTAAAATCACTTGTCCCCATAGCTGGGTGTAATAACATACACTTGTAGTATAGCTAATTGGGGAAGCTGAGGCAGACAGATCACTTGAGCCCAGGAGTTCAAGGGCGACATAAACAATATGGCCAGACTCTTAAAAAAAAAAAAAATATATATATATATATATATATATATAAAAATCCTAAAATCCCATTTAAAGCTTCCAAACCAACCCTAAATAGTAAGCAAGGAATTATGGGAATCCTGGGAAGATGGCCCAGCAGATAACCTTCTTGCTGTGCAAGCTTCTTGAGTCTCTGCATTCAAGTCCTTAGAGTCAGCATGTATCAGCGCATGCCTGTGGTCCCAGCCCTGCCTGGGGACATGGAGACAGAAGACTGGGAACATGTGGCCAGCTAGTTTGCCAATAAGTGAACTCATTCAGAGATAATGTCATCATTGTTGCAGCATAATTCTCTGTGGGTATATGTAAGGTGTGTGTGTGTGTGTGTGTGTGTGTGTGTGTGTGTGTGTGTCATATATATGGTGTATGTATGTCTATAGGTAGTTGCATGTGTGCATATGTGCTTTGCACATGAAATTATATTTTTTATCACATTTAATATTTCCCATTCTCGTTTTCTGGCCCTAATACTTACAGTTTGCCATGACAGCATCTAATTTATTGTGGTTTTTTTTTTAATATCCACATTTTTTCCTCAAATGTATATTAAAATGTCTTATGCAAATGAGGTTTTAGACAGTGCTTTCTCCCTGGATCTGACACGTTGCTGTTGTATAGCTCTTCCCTTTTTTGGGTTTTGATTAGTACAACTATGCATACTTCAAGCGTGCAGGCTCAGTCTTGCTCTATTTCTTCCTCTACAGAGCGCACACTTTTACCAACACTTCCTTCCCAACAATCTATTTTCCTATTGTGTGGTCGACCTCTGACTTCTGTTTGCTTTCTCCTCAGAACTCTGGCTGTATGTTTTTCGATGCCACACTGTTAGGTGCATAGGTACTTTGGATTGTTACATACTCCAAATCCTGCTTTCCTTGGAATCCATTGCTTTCCCCATTCCTCTTTCTCAGTGAAGCTCTCCCAGCCAGTCAGCTCTGCCTAGGCCTCTCTCTTCCAGGCATCTAATGTCCCTGTCATTTGTCTCTGCCTTATATACCAGAGTGCAGATTCCTACCTCAGAAT